TTTATTCTGAATGTGGTCCCAATGCTCATACATTATTTTTCGTAGCAAATTTGCAATACTTAGCCTACTACTTCAACTTAAAATCTGGATCTTGGATCTTTCGACCTTAATCTAGGACATTCTTTTATTATTGCTGTTGATTTTGAGAGGGCAACATTTTGAGATAAATCTCAAATAATAATATTTGTAGATTAACTGTAATGAAAAAATCAGATTTAAATCAGATTTATTGCCATATTTTTAATACTATATTTATTACATTATTATAATCATTAATTATAGTCATTTTGGCCTTCCATATCATCACCAACTTACTGTTTATTTTTTTTAATATATCTGTTCATCGTGCTGCATCTTTGTGATATGTTTATTGTCTATTTTTGCACCCTTATCCAGGTTCTCATTCCTCTTGACTCCAACAAAAGCAGGAACTTTATGCAGAAACTAATTCATTCATGAAATCCTCTTATCCGTCTTACTTTGCATCCAGAGAGATAGAAACCCTTTTCTCTATAAAATTCACGTTTAATTAATCACACAGTAACAAAGTTGGAATTATCTTATCAAAGTTTGTGACGCTGTTGTATGGGTAGCTACTCTGTCTTTTACATTACAAAAGAAAATAATAAAAAAAATACAGTTTTACGAATAAGGAATTGTCATTTCAGTAAAAGAAGAGGACTTAAATCAAATCTCTCTCAAATGTTTTAACTATATTTTACATTTTAGAAGATAAAGATAATCAATTGTCCTAATTTCCTTTAATTTTACACGAGAAATAAATTGTTGGTGTTGATATTTATGTTGCTGGTGCTCTGCTAAATGATTGGCCGGTTGTGTTTGACTACTTCCTGTAAACATTGACTCTGATTGGGTCCTCTTTCTCTCACGCGCCGGATGCTGCAGCTGTTTTCCGGCCCCTGCTCGGTAAAATGGCAGAGGTCGGTCACAGGCTGGGGAACGGAGTTTACCGGCTGTCTGCTCTCAAAACCAGCCAGAGTCGAGCCGTGTGCCCCGGAGGAAGTCCCGGGTGTCTTATAACAAACCATGCCTTCGTTTCCGGTCGGGTTACGGAGAAATCAGTCCAGTGTGGACGTGCAGTTCAGTCAGCTTCAGAAAGCACAGAAACACTTCTTAGGTCAGAGAAAGTTTCCACAGTGAAGGAAAGCGGGAGTCAGGTGTTGGAGAGTTCGGCTGCCTCCGGTTTCACCGAATTTTTAGAAAACACGGGGAGCCTGCGAGCTCATAAAGCTGCTCTTTTCCTCCAGAAGAAGCTGCTGCTTTGCAGGATGAGACTGTGGACGACAGCAGCTGTCTCCATGCACCCTGACGCCTTCAGGTCCCCCCAACAGCGCCGAGCTCTCTGCACGCTTACCTTCATCTTGGCAGATCCTGGATCAGACAGGCTGGGAAGTGGACACGGCCTGAGATGTTTGAATCTGCTCCATGACGCACTGAAGTCAAGTTTCACAGCAGCTAGAAGCTACAGCTGGAGCTCAGAAGACGCTCCTCTGCTGCACAGGAGCAGGACGGCCTATTATGACATCCTCAAAGTGTCTCTCAATGCCACGCAGTCTCAGATCAAGACGGCTTATTACAAGCAATCCTTCATCTACCACCCTGACAAGAACCCCGGGAGCAAGGAGGCCACCCAGCGCTTCTCTGATATCAGCGAGGCTTACACCGTGCTGGGAAACATCAGCCTGAGGAGGAAGTACGACCGCGGCATCCTGAGCCGGGCAGACATCCAAAATGCAGGCAGACCCTCCAGTAAGGAGGCTTCCAGCAGATCCACGGGTTCCCAACAAAAGCCTCAGCAGAGAGCCAGACAGTTCTCCCAACCTGGAGGGAGTCCCATATTTGATTTTGATGCCTTTTATCAGGCTCACTATGGGGAGCAGCTGCAGAGAGAGAAGGACCTGAGAGCCAGGAAGCAGCGGATGGAGGAGAAGCTGAAGAAGCATCATAGGAGGTGGAGGCAGAAGAAAATGATGGAGGTGGCTGTGGTAATGCTGCTGGCCATGGCAGGGCTAATTATTATCAATGTCAACAGGCCTTGAAATAGAAGCGGCAGCCGGAGGCGCTCCTTTCTGGGGCTGCACTTTATAACTCTCAGGGTGAGGAGGTGGAGACGGGAAGTGTTTGCACAGTTGCTGACAGCTGAAGAGGTTCATTTGTTTTCAGGAGTAAACAAACCGTCTCACTCGGATTATTTAAGCTGTTTCAAGCAGCAACTTGTTAGGCTCCATGTCTGTACTGTATACTGATTGTTTAAAAACATGGGTTCATTTCTCAAGTCTTCGATTTAAAAAAAAAAAAACAAAAGAGGTCTTGCTTTTTACAGTCGTTCCTCCTGTTCATGCTTAGTGATGACAAAAAAAAGAGGCCAGGCTTCATTTTAATAGTTCACAGGACATTGAATTGACCTTTAAATCACGCATGATGTGTTTTTATTGTAAGCGATGTTGGACAAAAGCCCCAGTTTTCCCCTTCCATTCAAAAAACTGAAGCTAAAATGAGCCTTCAGCTGTCCCCATTTCAAAGAGGATGTCCTCTTGAAAGACAGGCTCTTTTGTTGGCAGCTCACTATTTCTATATCTGCCTGAGCTCAGGGTGGAACCGCTTTTCAGGGAAACAAAGAGACTGGGTTTTGAAGGTTTTGAAAGTTAATTTAAGAAGAGGATCACTTAAATCCAACAACCTGTGCCTACGCTAAGTGGAAAATCAGGTTGTGCATTTGTCTGAATGTCCCTTTTTTTTGTATGTATTGGTTCATTGTGAGCACTATGCACACATGGTGTGAACACGTCCTTAATGACCAGTGTAAACATGAGGAATGATTACAGAAAGCAAAACCTGGTTGAGACAGGCAGCGATTCTGTACGACAACAACTGAATGTTTCAGTTTCTCCACGTGTAGAAGGGCGATGGATCGAAGGCAGTGGAAACTGTAAACCACCCCACAGGTTGGGGACTTGAATGTAAGTCAGGGGTGTCAAAGTCATTGTAGTCACCGGCAGCCCATTTTGATCCACAGTCGGATGATTGGAGCGAAACCCGCATTAAACACCACAGTGGACCTGCAAAAGCACAAAACCTTCACATGTAGCTGTTGTAACTAACAAAAGCAACAATAACTTTGACCCATTTTCACTCAACTACAGTGATGTTTGTGGATTTTATGAACAAGTTAAAGATGTCGCTGCTGTCCTGTAGTGTAACGGTTCGTGTTACTAGGGCCCTGCATTTGACACCCCTGACACACTCAGTTTCTGGGTGATGTCCTCATTACCTCATTTCATGTTTTTATGTTTTATGAGGTTAAGATTACCCTGATGAAGGCAGCAGGCTGGTAAAAATCACAAAGCTGTTCTTTATACTGCAATTGTTGCTGGAGCTTTGACTTCTTTGGACCCTTTTTCTTTTCTGTGCATCTATGAAATACCTGGCATAGACTTGGGTTAGTCTTTCTAGCACCTATACTATTTTCTGTAGTAGCCGGCTGAAGTCAGACAGCTTTTGGTGGTTCAGGTTGATTTCTGTCTATCAAACTTCTGCAAAAGGACGACAATCATTCAACTTGTCCTTCCTGTATAATGCACATTTCCTTTGGCCTTCCTCATACTCCAGCTCTGTAATGTGGAAAAATCACTTTAGTAGAATTTGAAGATTATGGAATCTTTTTTTTGTCCCACTGGGGGGGGGGGAGATTTGGTACAAAATATATATTTTTTGCGATACATAAGTCAAAATTTAAAGTTACAATCTTGTTACTTATTTTGACTTTTCAGTGGCAAAAACAAGTTTCCATATAAGATTAAGCTGGTATTAGTAGCATTACATACTTGCACCTCCTTCCATGTATTTCAGTTTAAATATGTTTATGTATTGTAAAATTAAAATTTAAAGTCGATTATTATGTGTGAGGAAAGCTGCAGTACAAAAAATACAATAAAACTGTGCAGTGCATCCCTTTTTTTCCTGACTGATTCAGCATCAGGGCAGAGTCTGTTCCAGCTGTGGGAAGCAGAGGACAACAACACGGAGGGCTAACACAGAGAGACAAGCACTCATATTCACATTCATACCTATGACCAATTTAGAATTACACGTTACTCTAACATGCATGTGTAAAGGGAGAGAACCTATAAAGGTACAGAGATAAAGTCCCCGGCCAAAGAACTCAAACCCTTCTTGTATTCTCGCTGTGAGTTGAAAGCACTGCAGTTACCTAATAATTACCTGAGCCGAGGATTTGGCCCAGCTTAGAAGTGATTAGGTTTTAGTTTGGCCCTGAATCCAGGATTCTTTTTCCTTGTGAGATAACTGTATCATGTCCTCATGAATAGAAATTAATAATAAAAAAATGCATTATATGATACTGCATTGGTGTTTGTAGGAAAATACTTACTACTTAAACAGTATGTGCACAGAGCACCCGTGTTTGTCCCCCCGAATGTTACAAGAGCTGACCTGTAGAGGGCATCTGAGCACAGTGAAATGATCACTAGGTTACAGCTGGAGGCCTGACGTGCTCCCAGAGGCTCTTTGTGTGAGTATGAATGCATGCAAGCTGTAACATATTAAAGACATAAAAGCACTACAAATATTGACTCATGTCTTTAACTTGTTCTCTAGCATAAGTCAAACATTTGTAAACTGTGGCTTTTTAAATTGAGATCACTGGCCACCCTGATGAGTCTACGTGGGGAGCATGAAAGCATGGCAGGTCATTTTATGTCAGCCGTAGAGCTTAATTATAGAATAAAGGTGGGTGGTTACGTTAAATATAAACACACAAACAGTGAGCAAACCCACGGTACATATGAGTTTTCATACCTCTGTTAACACAGATAGACTCATAAGTGGGTCTCTTTTTGTCTCTGTGTTACTTTCGGCACTTTATGAGAATATGTTTGTTGAAACTCTCGAGTCTGTTACCCGCCTGAACTTTCGAACGGTGACATCTCAGCGGGAATAACTGGAGAAAGCGTGCAAAAGTTTGTTCACATTTTATTCACAGAAATATAAAGTAGTATGTCAAGTACATCACTTTGTACAAAATTGCACAGACTCTTCAAAACTCAGCCAGACAACAGAAAAACTCGGCTGTAGGAGTGTTAAGAAAATAAAAGGGAGACGATGAGTAATCTGCGATATGTGAGATGGCTTTCTTGCAAACAAACAAGAAGAATCAATCAATTGTACATAAGTAAGACTCAATAGGAAAAATGTAATTTTACAACGGCTGAGGAATAAATATGTCTCAAAAATAGGATTCAAATTGGCACATGAACCGCTCCGTCCGCTCCTCGACTGCAATCACCTGTGAGGCTAAATGGCCGCGCTTGAAGGGGCAGCTAACGCTTGATATGTTTATTACAACTGAAGAAAAGTGTTGCATATGTGCCACCTGTTACAAACAGCTGCTCGCTTGGCTGTTGCGCTGTCTGTTTTTTATGCTTTAAGGAAAAAGAAAGAAAAGACTGACATGTTAGGAAATATGCTTGTTCACTGCCTTGGCAAGAGATTGCTGAGATGACTGACAGGAAATGTGAAGCTGCAGTTGCCAAATTTATCTTTTAGATTATTCATTAGAATAAGGGTGTAACAGGCGGAAATCTAGAAGGAAAAAGCTCCTCATCTGCCCTCTGTAATCCAAGAGCCTTTCATCTGATGAGCACAAGCATATGCACGTACTTTGAAGGGTTCTGCTTAATCTACTATGCCAACACTTTCCAGATGGACTTAATCTGGCCTGAAAATACCTGTGATTGGACAAAGTCTCCCTACCACAGGTTAGAGTTTTTAAAGCTTCAAAACAAAGCCATGAGAGATGCAGGAATCCAATCATAGTTTTCTTGGATTATTGCTCACTGGTGCCAAAATCATGTTGCCTGCCCCAGTTTTAAGACTGGAGGTAAAGGGGATTCAGATAAGTTGGGCTGACTCCATTCGAGGTGACAATATCCATCTATGAGCTTCTCCGAGGCTCATTTATGTCTCCTTTATTTAGCACAAATCCAAAACTGCAAGTGTGTGCTCTGTTTGGGCAAACTTGCAGGTTGCTTGGAAAGTAGCTCCAGCCAAAAATTAGTCCAACATGCAATCAGAACATATTGTTGTACATGTTACACAAGCGAGTCTTGGCCAGGAAAACTGCTCCCTGTGTTTCCAGTCTTTGATTTAAATTAGCCACCTATTGGCAGCGTGGCTTCACAGGAAACAGAACTTCCTGAACTACGGGGCACTTGCAAGATAGCCCAGAATCAACTTTGGTCCTGTGGTAGCTGTAACATTCATGTGGCCGAAAAGCATTTCAAATGTTGATCATGTTTTTGAGAAAAGTGTCTGACACCATAGATATAGTTCAGTTTTTACTTTCCAGAGGGTCACCTAGTGACAAGTCTGGTTTCCAGACATCAAATAAGCACTGGGCGATTTCTACCAGCAATCACCTGACAACAGTCACCACTTACCACAATAACCGACTGCTTTTTACATGCAGGCGAGTTTCTGTTTTAGTTTGACTACAGTGCTAATGTCAGTCCGAGTCACAGCTTTGGAAACACGCCTCCGAGGGGGGATGTCCTGTCATAAATCCCGTATGGCTCTAGCTTGCAACGAGCAAAATCTGTTCCACTGTAAGAAAATCAAAATGACTGACAGTAATTTTCCGAAAATTGAAATGATCTGGCGCAGGTCCAAATAAGTTCCGCTAATGTTTAGCTCTGTTCAGTCCCATTCATTGAACACTTTGCTGCTTTTCACTCTCCAGGTAAGCTGCAGCCAATGTAAGTATAACAGAGGCAGTGATAGGAAGTGACGGGGCTCTGGTGGTATTACACTAATTAGTTATTAGCAATATTTCCAAAAATGTCACACTTTTCTTTTTGTGAAAATGATGTTTTTCTTGAATAATTTTCTGCATAAAGCTTATTCCCATGTCGGCACAAATTAAAGCAGTGACGCCATATCTGTCCATTCAAGCATGGCCATGTAGTACCCTTTATTTAACTGTGTCATTCCTGGTCACACCCAAAAGCTCACCTGCAGGCCACATATACAGTGTACAATACTGCTACCATTCAAAACAACATGTCCCAAGTCCCTCCGATAAATGCTGGATTTGGTATAATTATATTTTCAAGGCGTTACTTTAATGTGATCTATATAAACAGGATATCTAATCTACAGGTTATTTATATGCTGAGCGTGAATACAGAACCGTCACCAGATGGAGGGACCCTGAAAACCATGTTTCAGAAACACTACTGTAGCACACCGATCATCGAAAAATATTTGCACTCTAATACACCACCACACACTCATAGAAATACCCCAGTAGGACGACAAAATTGGAGCCACGCTTCCCTGTTCGTGCAGACTTCTATTGTTCATGTTCCATTTAAACAGTTTTAAACTGATTTGTAACACAACATATGACCGTGTGTGTCTGTGTAGAAGAAAATGCTCTCAGTATGCAGAGATATGCAGGTTCGGTATGTTTCAAACAGTAAATTAATCAGATAATTGTCAGGCACTAAGACCCTTTAGGCTGTACATGTTTGGGGAAAAACATCTCCAAGCTAACACTAACACACCCATGATTGCTGTACTTATGTTAGTGGAGAGCAAAGACCCAGAGCAGGACTCTGTAGGGAAAGCCCACAGGGAAAGTGAGGATATCCGGGACGGGCTCAAAGCAGCTTTACAAACATTAACAGAGCTCATAAGGGAGGGGCTGTTTCTTCGGGGTCATTTTAAACTCGCAAGCCTTCGGCAGGGTGGTGACACGGGCTCTGCTCCCAGGGAACTATGGGTAAGGGTGAACGGGAAGTGGTCAGTAGAGATGAATCAAAGCCATATGACTCTACTGGATGACTTCCTCTTGCTTTCTCCACCTACGATTACATTCACCACAGCCTTTTTTGTTTTGTTTTTTAAACAGCTCCTTCTCAACCATAACCCATCCTTACCTACCTGTAGCCCTCACTGTCTCCCATTAACCGGCATCCACAGAGAAATCCATAGAGGCAGAGGGTTTTTATGAGCATGGCCACACTGCTAAGGATCATTATCATCCCATCCCTTGTCAAATCAGAGGAACAGGAAATTGCCTTGAAACAAAAACCAACAAACTGGACGATTAGTGATCCAGTGATTTGGACCAATTTCATCATCAGCAGAGGAGAGCCCAATGTAGCTTCCAACTTTCTGGACCTGGCCTGGGTCATTTAGTAGAAAGAGTACTGGTTCTCCACAGCCCGGGCCCTGCGAGTCCCATCAGCATCGTGATAGTCATCAGATGTACCACTAGAGGCCTCCAGCAGACGTTCAGAGCTATTGCTCCGGCTCTGCAAGCCTCCACCTACTCCTCCTCCAGTACCTGGGTCGCTGCGGGAGAGGGAGGGAAGGGCGGTGGGTGAGGAGGAGGTGCTTGAGGAAAGTGGGGCATCAGATGGAGGCCCCGTAGGTGCTGCGATTCCAGGAAGGTGAAGAGCTGGCTGGGCTGAATCTGTTCGGCACATTGCATCCCTGGATGGAGTAAGGACTGGAGGCGAGGTCACATCTGTAGGAGATTGTGGGGAGAAGAAAGGGATCCTTTTAATAGAGGACATATTAATTATACAGAATATTCTGTGCTGCTGCTATTTGTTTGCTGGCTTCCACTAAGAGAGTTGCTTGTAAAAAGCTTCTTCACAGAGCAGTGTGTAAACACAGGCGGTGCGAACCTCCTTTATTATCCTTTCTCTCAGAGGGCAATAACACCGACAACACTGTTGCCAAAGACACGCCTGACCAGCGTATCAATAAAGTCTTTTACACCCTGAATCAAACCCTCGCTGTGTGTGTGTGTGCGTGTGTCTGTCAATGAGTGCGTGAGTGTGTGCAGCATTTGAGGAAACAGAGGACTTCTTTGTGACTACCAGAGTGGCTAGGAGCCGGAGTCTCGGCCTGCATGCAAAACTCCTGCGGTATAATCGCCCCCTCACTCTCCTGTACAGGAGGGCATTTATCCCATGCCAGGAGAGTGGAGGGCAGAAGGTGGGGGTGGGTCTTTTAAATCCAGTATTGTTTACATCTGTGTTTACCAGCTTGCAGTTTTTGAATTCTCTGCCTTTGCTGGTGCATTGCAGTGTATCCTGTTATATTACCTACATCAGATCTGTGGAGTAATGACGCCACTGGTTTGACTTTACACTTTACAGTTACAGATTTATTACAGTTAAGAGTTTAGGTCCAAGCTTATCGATTGCCACAAATATTCTACGTATAAAACTGGCTCTAGGAAACTGGTCCTTCCTAGAGCCGACAGCTGGATGGTGAACGGGTTGAAACAGCTGGCAGAAAAGCAAGGCAGCAGTGAGCAGATGGGAAATTCTGCAGCATAAATAGTCATGTTACGTGTACATGATGCAGTGGAGCTCAAGTTGCTCGCCTGAACTAGTTTGCAGGGTTCATGTGATAAACAGTGAGATATAAACAGGTCCAAAGCTCTGCAGGAAACCTTACGTGGAGTCTGAGTTTGAGTTCATAACAACCTAATAATCATTAGTGTTAATGATTATTAGGTTTGTGAGTACAAATTCAGCAAATTAGCAGCTAAAATTATATTTGCCACTTTATTAGGTACATCTGTTCAACTGCTCATTAATGAAAATATCCAGTTGCCTGATTACATGGCAGCTACTCAGTGCATTTAGGCATGTAGAGATGGCATGGCTGAGATCACCAGCTGAAGTCCAAACTGAGCATCAGAAAGGGGAAGAAAGGTGATTTAAGTGACTTTGAACATGGCATGGTGTTGCTGCCAGATGGGCTGGTCTCATTATTTCAGAAACTCCAGATCTACTGGAATATTTTCCCACAACCATCTCTAGGTTTACAAAGAAACATACAAAATCCAGTGAGTGATGTCAGCGATCAGAGGAGAGTGGTCAGACTGCTTTTCGCTGATAGGAAGGCAACAGTTACTTAAATAACCACTTTTTACAACTAAGGAATGCAGAAGACCATATCTGAGTGCACAACACAACAAAACTTGAAGCAGAAGTCCACACCAGGTAACATTCATGTTAGCTAAGAACAGGAATTTCTATAAAGATAGGAAAAATGTTGTCTGGTCTAATGAATAAACAACATGAAAACATGGATCCATCCTGCCTTGCATCAATTGTTCATTGTGGTGTTGGTGTAATAGCAGGGGAGATATTTTCTTGGTACACTTTAGGCACCTTAGTAGCAACTGTTCATCATTTAAACACAACAGCCTAGCTGAGTACTGCTGTTGACCATGTCCATCCCCTTATGACCACAGTGTAGCCATTTCTGAAGGAATCAGCAAGTTAATGCATCATATCACAAGGTTCACATCATCTCAATCTGGTTTCTTGGACATAGCAATGAGTTCACTGCACTCAAATCACCAGATCTCAGGCCAACAGAGCACCATTTTGGACGTGGTGTAACAGGAGACTTGCATCATGGGAAAGTCCTAGTACTAGAAGGTATACCAAATAAAGTAAACGTCGAGTGTACACAACATGTGTTGTAAGTTACTGCACTGATTACCTGTGTTTGAGCTCCGCTGCACTTGTACATAGGAGCGTAATGTGATGTCAGCTGAGCCTCCAGATTCAAGGGGGATGGGGTGGGCGTGGAAGTGTCGCAGCATGTCCGATACGGTGTGGAACCAGAGGTGGTGGACGTGGCACTGCCCATTCTCATTAACTGACAGACGCAAGTGCTGGTAGGGAGAGTGGAAAGGTGGAGGGTGGGGGGGCATTAACAAGTAGAGAGAGGAAGTAGAGAAAGAAGAGGAGAAAAACGAGAGACAAAGCAAAGTGTGAGACACAGTGAGCATCAGAAACAATCAGACAAACCAGACCAAGATAGAGGTCAGGACATTATTTGAGAGACTTATTGCTGTGGCAGACCGCCCAAGGCTGACACCAGAGGAAGAGGTGGCAGCTGAAACTTCCTCAGCACTGCCGGCTGGCAGGATGTGATGTGCAGGGATCATGTTACATAAGAGAACATAAAACATTGACATTACTGCAGCTTTTCCAGAGCCTGAGCAACTGCAGTCCCCAGAATTCACAGAACAAAACAATATGTATGTCATTTAGTTAAAGCTGCCAATTCTTTTTAATTAATGAAAATAAAAAATAAACATTTATTTTTTCCAGCTCACCAGATAAAACTGAAATCATTTCCAATGTGCAAGTTTCAGTCACATGACATTGCAGATCGTCCATCTACTCATCTCACCTTGGCTTTGCCCTGGAAGTTGAAGGTGAGGACGTACTCGCCCGGACGCGTCTCGCTTTGACGAATCACAAACAGCCCGTGGCTTCTCGCCCCACCGGCAAGCACCAGCTGAGCTGCACGTACGCGGGACAGCGTGCCATGGAACCACGGGTAACCTGCCAAACTGGCATCTCCGTCTGAGTCTTTTGATCCTTCACTGCCACCTAAGCAGCGTCACAGGAGAAACCATGGTTTATTTTTCCCCATCTGTAATTTTCTCATGTTTATTTTCTCGTAAACCTGCTTGGATCACCCTGTAAGGAAAATAAAATGAATTCATCATTACCTGCAGAGGAGTTGGAGCCCTGGGCCTCTGGGGATTGGAGGAAGCGCTCTAAAGGCATGTGAGATGGGTGCTGGGTGAAAGGAGGTTCCCTGCAACGGACTGAGGAGGTGCTGTAATGCTCTGCTGCTGTAGAGCACGATCTCTCTGGAGCACGGTACACTCCTAAACATGTTTTTATACATTATTGTATTGGTCAGTGTCAAAACATGTTCATGTTATGTTACACGGTGCTGCATCGGAGACTAAAAACAAGTCTCTACGCTCACCCTCAGAAAGCAGCTCGCAGCTGCAAGAGGCCACCATGGAGCACTCTTTGGAGGCCTGACCATGAGGACAGGACGCCAACTCGATGTCATCGCCGCTGTCACTGTACACAAGCAGTTGGGTCAGAAGAACCGCAGGAACGTATACACATCCACACACATGAGCAAACAAACATCAGTGAGTCCTAACAGACGACTCTACACAAATCCTACAAGCACCTACACAAGCGACCTTTCTGTTTATGTCCTGAGCTGCACTGACAAATGTCCACTCGTCCAAGAAACTGGGCAGGAATGTCCGCGGTGCAAGCTCGCCCATGTTTATGCTCAAGAAAGTTGTCAAAAACTCTAGTAATTGGATGATTAATGACTGTGTGTGTTCACCCTCCTCCCCCTTTTCCCGTCCACTCTTTCCTCCGCCCCCGCTTCCGTCCCTCTCTCCTTCTTTCCATCTTCAGTCAACAGCAAATATTTATCTGGTGGTTTACCCGGGGTCTATGCAGTCCTGGATGTCAGCAACCCACGAGTTTTTCTGCAGCGAGTCGATGGTTTCCAGGATGTATTCTCCCCCGTTTTCCACCTGTGGAAGCAGTCATACACTGAGCTGTGTTCAGTGCACCACGTCAAAGCAAAAAAAAGAAAACCGCACCAAAAAACAGGTGAAGTGGAACGTGACTTCAGCAAAGCCATGGTGTACTTGATTTGCATACCAGACGTTTTTTAAGCTCTGTTTTATATGTGGGGTTTTTCAGTGTTATTGATGTCAAGCAGGAAGTTGTTGTGCACAAATATTTGTGTATTTCCTACCTTAAGAACAAACGTGTTGTCCTTGTCAGGCATCTCCAGCGGCATGGTGGTCCGCACCTCCACAATGGCTGATAAAGGGATGCTAACTTTGGGCTTTGAGGACTACAACATACAAACAGACGCATATTAAAAATAGTGCACATACATGTCACATACTAAAGGTATAAAGTAAGCTTGTTGCACTTGACACCAGTGAGTCCCAACAGGTCAGTCAGGACTCAGCCAAGGTTGGTAAGATGAAGGTGTTGGAACCAAATAAACGCATTTGCTAATATACAATAAGTTGATTTTTTTTAAATGCTCTTTAACATTTGCCTCCAAAAACTAAGGACACAATCTAAAGTGGGAAAGTTGCTTCTGAGCTACTCATACTTTCTGTTGCAGACATGTAAAACGTCCTTCCGTTGTGTTCTAAAATTGTGAACCAAGCCCTGTTTCAGATGACCTTAGACTATAAAAGTCCTGCCTCTTATGTCAGTGTACTATTACCCAAAGCAGAGGAGGCAAATATAATTGGTCCAAAGTTAAAAAGAAAAATGTTGGGTTACATCCTACAGGAGGTAACTGCAACACTTGTAAAAGTAGAAACTGTATATTTTTCTAGCTTTAAATTAGTAGTGCGGTAGTTTAAATAGTACCACTTCACCCCCTCTCTTTAGTGTGAAACACACAAAGATAACTTTTCCAAACCCTCAAACTTCGCTCTCATACATGATAATTAAGGGGCAACATGCAGTCACAACATTTGGTTCAGCCTTAGCAGTACACCCACAGATTAAATAGTACAGCTCAGTTGAAATTAACATTCATTTAAATAACTTTTAAATATCTCCATGGCTCAGATTTTATGCAGTATCTCATTTCAAAGCCTGTTTTTTGGCGATTATTCCTGCTGGCTGACTAACAAATACGACACAGGAAGGCTTTATAAAAGCGTGAACACAGAAAACATGCTGGCCTCATGTTCCCCCTCTGCAGAGAGTTGGATCCAGATGACAATCGCAGCAGATCCGGTGAATGTGTGTTGAGGTAGTGAGCTGTGAGCCGTTTCTGTGTGTGTTTCAGGAAAGGCGGAGTGGGAAGGGGCTGACTGACTGATGGTCAGTCAGAGGCTTTTATCAGCTGATCTGTCTGGAGAAAACACCGTCCTCATCTTGATCCACCTGTGCAGCTGGCTCTTGTCCCCGCCCACAATCCCTCTCTTTGGATCAGATGTCAAAAACCATTTCCTGTAATAAACTATTTCCTGTGCGATCTAAGTGGGCTCCGTCTGTTGAAAAGCAAACCAGTGCACTTGAAACTTGAATATTGTGTGGTTATTATCTGAGATAAGTGAGAAAAGTGACTTTGAAAAGGGGGCTTGGCTTCTTTCAAGGGAGCTTCTTTAGAAGGCTCTGAGTTGGTATAATGACGGGACGTAAAACAGTTTGAAACAAGACGAATGCATGCATGCAACAGCTTTCCCTGACTGCTGTGTATATGTGCATTACTGTGTTTCTATATTAGTCACTGTCCTGAAAGTAAAGGCACTGATAAATAAATATTTAGCATTTCACAATGAATAATGTATGAAATGAAAGCTGCAGTAGTGACCAAAAGTACACACATGTTTTTACTTATTTTCTGCCCGTACAAATACAGTTACAATGGTGGATGCTGATATTAAATAATGCAAAAGATTCAGAAAATGACATCATCATATAACTAATCCCTTCTAGCCAATAGCTGAGGCTTCAGACTGATCAAAAATGCTTGGTTTCAGGCATTTATTCCTAGATGTGGCTCTAAATTATGTCGATGAGAGGAAGATTTCCTTCATATGGCACAAAGTGACACTTTTGGAAGAAAGCTGGCTTAAAGTGATAGAAGATAAAACAGCTTGTTTCAGATGAACTGAGCAGCTTGTCCTAGTATAAAATAAACATGGACTGTTTTGAACTATGAATCATGCAAAGCTACTCTAGTGAAGCTACTCTAGCAAAGTGCACCTCTCCTTCTCCTAACATACGAGGTCTTAAATAACCAGGCCCCATCTTTTATTGAAGGCCACATAGTACCATAGCACCCCCATAGACAACTTTGCGTTCATACTGGTAGTTTTCTTGTGGTTTGTAGGATATTTAAAAGTAGAATGGGAGGCAGAGCCTTCAGCTTTCAGGCCCATCTTCTGTGGAACCAGCTTCCAATTTGGATTCAGGAGACATTTACCCTCTCTATTTTTGAGATTAGGCTTAAAACATTCATTTTTGATAAAGCTTATAGTTAGGGCTGGATCACGTGTGCCTGAATCCTCCCTTAGTAACGCTGCAACAGGCCTAGGCTGCTGGGGGCTTCCCATGATGCACTGAGTGTTTCTTTGTCACTCACTTCTTTTCACTCTCTGTGTAATTGTACACCACTTTGCATTTCATCAATAGTTATTGTTAATTTTTGGCTCTTCTCTACAGTGTGTCTTTTGTCCCGTCTTCCTCCCTGAGTCTGGTTTTGTCTGAGGTTTCTTCCTGTTAAAATTGACTTTTTCCTTCCCACTGTCACCAAGTGTTTGCTCACAGGGAGTCATCAGATCACTGTATTATTGTAGAGGCTTTACCTTACAATGTAAAATGCCTTGAGGCAACTGTGGCTGTGATTTGGTGCTATATAAATAAAACTTAATTCAACTTAACTGAATAAATAACGTGGAGCTAAAAATAAGCACAATAGTTCCACCTTTAAAGCTGGTCCTTAGGTTAACTGCCTCTGCTGCTACTCTTCCTCTCTAGTTTGTGCAGGTTAGTTTTGTGGTGTGAACCAGAGCGGGTTATCTCAGGCATTGCTGCTGTGTCATAATGCAGGCAGCGGAAGCGTGCTGCAGTGTGCCGTCTCTGCCACACAGAGCAGCCAGCAGATAGGTGGACCTGACAGGGACGGAGCTGGAGTCAGAGCCAGGAGCGGGCAAGAGTGAGATTTTATGAGTCAGTTTATCTTTCATGCACTGTTGACTCTGCACTGTTATGACTTGTACTGCGCGAATACGATGGCAGTGATAAAGCAAGTCAGAGAGTTGCAGAGCAGGACCGTCGAAATGCATGTGTTTAATTAATGTGTCATCAAGGCTGTAACCGCCGCTCTGAAGTCTGAGGCTTGTTCACAGCTGATAATAATTTTCCCATTTTGGATGTTAATAGAAGTTAACAGATGAAACTGCTTTAGAGCCGTCATTACGTTTTTTTGTTCTTTTTGTAGTTCTTAGCAACTTGGCAGAGTTCGAGTGACTGACAAAACTATTTTGGTTCCCATTTTCAGTTGGTCACTGCTGACAGTTTGCCAAAGGCGCGGAAGCAATCGATATTCATTTTTTGCACATGAAAGGGAAACTTTGTGATCCCCTTGCCTTATAGAAATCAATGTAAGAGCTTCCTCTCTCCCTCTCTTTCCCACAGGCTCAGCTTTTCTACTTTCATCCCCCCCACCCCCCCGCACGTCTGCATCCCACCTGTCCTTACCCCTCTCCCCCATATTCCCACCAGCCATGATCAAAGGACAGTGGCAGATTTACACACAATCAGCTGCACAGCCTTGTGGCCTACTTAAGGTCAGGGGCAATGATCTGGAAATCCCATATAGACAAATGTGAAGGGTGTGTGCACACACGTGAGCGCGTGGTTTGAACTGTGTCGTTCTGCGTCAGCAGGGCTGGATCGCCCAACTAAATTTAAAACTAGAATTTAGGAAGTGCTACTACTACTGGTTACTTTTATTACTTCATCACTTTTTAAACATTTTCCTAATCTATAAATAGACTTGAGGAACTAGAAATGCACTAAGCTTAGAAAATTAAAACTGCTAAAGACAGAATTCGCAATACCAATAATGGCTGTGAAAAAAACTAGATTTCCAAAATGTGTGATTAAAAGTTCTTTTTCCATACCATTATCTGTTTTTGTTTTTGTCAGCTGGGTATGTTGGGAACACTGAAAAACTTTAAAATATATGGAGATGAGGACAAATTACTAAAAATTAAAAGGAACTTAGGTGAAATCTTATTATAATAACATAAATCTCTGTTTGTTTGTTTGAGTCTTCGGCCGCCCTATCATGATCAGGGGTTGAGCAACCAAACTTGGCACACAGGTACAATCTTAGGTCCCGAAAGGTTCATATTTATTCTGGATCTACATGTTGCCTCACAAACTTCTAGCAACGGGCTGAAAAGACTTATGTTTTGCATTTATGCAACTACAACACCTGAAAATAAAATAAAATCTTCTTATAGTTTTCTTATTGTCTTCACATCAATAACGGCTCACGTATATACAGAACAACTGAATTATACATCCTAGCAACCACATAGCAACAGGCTAAAATGTCAGATTTTTAGCATCTAAACAACATCCAGCACTATGTCTGTTCTCAGTGATTCGGGTCAAACTAGTCTTTGTGAAGACATATCCCCTCTTATCCAAGAGGCCTCTTCAGCTTTAAAACAACTGGAGTAGAGACTACCCCTTTGGAGGTGACCCACTACTGACCATGTGAGTCCTCACATGAACCAAAGGCCAGTGTCCATAGGTGAAACCTCTATGAGACACTGCCCCCACCATCATGTGAGGCTATGACTCATGTGAGTCACCTGAGAGGGGGTTGAAATACCTCACTGTGTAAGAACTGAGAGAGCCTCTCGGATGAGAGGCCAAACATCTCCACAGCTGCCTTCATTTTCAAGCTCTGACCACCCATATTTATTCATCTCTGACTGAGATTAACTATATCAGTTTGTCAAAAGCACGAACAGGCCAAAAGAAACACGCCAACAACAACAACAATCTGAGACACTTAAGATTATTGTTTTAGTTGACTGATAATAAAAAAACATATTTCACGATTATTACTAGATTAAACAACAAAGAGCTGGTGTCCACTTCTCAAATTCTAAGGATTTGAGGTTTTGCACACTTTTTTACATTTGAAAGCCAAAAACAACTATCTGATTAATGCAATAATAATAAATAATAGCTGATCCGTTTTCATCGTAATCATTTTTTCCTTAACTCTCCACCAGAGATGGGTCAAGAAACTTGATACCAGATCCAGCCAGACTAGCCCGTACATGACTACTGGTAAGTGCCTCGGCAGACGGTGCTGTTATGGGTTTTTATGCAACGTTAATTTGTTTTGACATAGATAATGTTTTCAAATTCCTAACTGACCCAAATAATGACAAAGCTGCCGGTCTTAGGCGATTATATTTGACATTGCTGTGTGTTTACATTCGGTTCTGACTGATCAAACATGTGAGCCTCATGAAAACACAGCTCACTCCAGCGAATGACGCTGACAGGATGTGCCAAACTTAAAATGCAACCTCCTCAATTTATTATTAACTGAAAAGTCTGCAGTTAATAAGTTAGGGTTAGGGCATCATTATTAACCATTTCTTTAAATGCTACTAGAGTTTAGGCAAGCAGCAATCGCAGTGGAAAACAGTCAGCCTCTAAAGTCAAACACCTGCTCAGTGGTTAGATAAGGAAACCCAGACAGGGCTGTCGGCATGTTTATCACAAAAGATTTAAAACCTTTCATTCCGGCACAGTTTCACCTTTCCTCAGCTGTCCTATTTTATTTATCGTGGTTTTTAAAATGTCTAGAGCAGGGGTGTTAAACATAAGGCCTGGGGGCAAGAATTGGCCAGGCCAAGACTCCAATCTGGGCCATTGGATGTCTTTGGAATAACTGAAGGAGAGGGAAGATTTTGGACTTTTATTGCATTGATGTATTTTCCTGGTTGTGTAGCTTTTCCTACTGATAATGAGCTCATCCATTGCCATTCATACACAACGTCAAAGTAATTAAGTAGTAGATAAACGTTTAAATAAAAGAAAAGTTCCCATTTTTTCGCTATCTACTCTAGAAATGATAGTCTGGTCCATGAGCTACCAGAAATTTAACTCTGTAATTTTACACATTTAATTTTTTGTGCTGACAAATTTCTTTCATTTATGACAGCAGCAATTCTTTATCATGAAGAAAAACTGAGATGTTCTATTGAAACTGCACTTCTTTGGCTTATATTATCTTAAATATTTTAAATGTTTAGTTAAACTTCTTCACACTAACAGGAAGGGGCGTTTTAACTGGTCCGGCCCACTGCCTGTAGGCTGTGACATCCCTGATCTACAGGGAGCACCTGACCTCAGAGGCATGCTTACTTTGTACACCTTCATGCCTGCTAAGTATAAAGTTTAGACAATAAACATCACTGGTTAGCATGCCAATGTGTAATAAGAATGGGCTGCTGTTATGATAAGCACATTCCAAGTATTGATAAGAGTATCAGTGTTGATATACCTTGGGTGGTACATAGAACTCTAGCAGGAACCTCTCCCCTTCCTCCCTCTTTGCCTTCCTCAGCAGCAGGCGGCACTTCTGCCACTGTGCAGCACCCATACAGTTTGTGTCATCAGCCACCATGTATCTCAGTGCTCCCTCTCTTTGGATTTCTAGGAGCTCAGCCTTGTGGCCTTGTGAACCCCGTGGAAGCCGAAGCTTTTGGGACCACTTCTCCCCGCCCGCAGCCTCCCCTCCTCCTCCCCCATTAGCCTTCCTGGTCCCAGAGGGAGCATCAGGTTCAGGGGAAGCCCGTCTATGCCACATTTCCTTCACCCCATCCACCACACACAGGCTCATGTTCCTCAGGGAGAAGCCCTTCTTGAATCGAGCCTTTGGGTGACTGACTGAAACGTCCTCTGAACTGCGGGACTGTCCGAGAGCGGAGACCTTGTGGGTCGTCTGAGGGCCCCTGGAGGCAGTGGTGCCGCTGCCTCCCCCATTTATTCCTCCCCCTCCGCTGTCCATACTGTCCAGGGAATCACTCGAAGCCCCGGCGTCCTTGCGTCTCTGGTAAAGGTCGTGACCGTAGGACAGCGGGCAACCCTGGATCCCCAGGAAAGGAACGATGCTGTACTTTGTCGCTGCGTTGGAGCCGTCCTCTCCCGGAGAGGATGCTTGGTTTTCCCGGGCCTGGGTCAGCGCTGCAGAGAAGCACTCTAAGAAGTGTTGGGCAAAGTGCTGTGAGAAGCTGGCATCAGCGCCTGGCGAGTCATAGCAGGGGTTCTCCGACAGAAAGCGCTGGAACTTGTCAGCGAAGTCTGCAGCAGAGGCTCGAGCATGGAGCTCACAGAACTCTCGCCAGTCGGGCAGCGGGCACGAGGAGGAGAGCTCGGGGCTACCGGGCAAAACCGCTCCGTTCATCACTGGGCCATGCCAACCCACCGAGGAGAGGCTGAAGGGGAGGAAGAAGAGCACAGTTAGTGTGGAAACTATAAATGGACTGCGACATGAATTTATCCATCTCTTGGTCTTGGATGTCACACGCAACAGTTGTGGCACAGCCTGCATGTGTGATGGCACAAAGAAGAAGATGAGGCAGACTGCAAACCAGCTTGTTTGTCATTACAATATTTACATCTTAATCAAATGAAAAATGAAGTGATTTTCAGTGAAATATTTACTAATAAAATATTACACATTTTTACTTTTTTTGCACTGTTAAGGCAAAACAGCACAGAAAGCGTGACCTGAGTGTCCTCTGTTGCCGTTATAGCTCTGGTGCACAAACAGCCCCCCATTTCACTGTGTTGGGGCTTTATTCACTTTGA